CAACACTGAGATCACACTATGGGAGAGGGGTGTAGGGTCGGAGAGTATTTGGGCCTGTGTGTTGTCAGAGTGTGTGTGTGTCCACGTTTTGTGACGTCTGTCTTATACCATCAGTGGTAGTATTGTATTACTGTCTGTACTGTACAATTACATGTTTGTGAATTCTGCTGCATGATATTGTTAAAACAGAGTATGTGTGATAGGGGTTGGATAAGAATTTGCTTCATTTAACAGCTTTTCGATGTATATTTCTCTTTTATATATGTAAATAATATAGGTTAAAAATAAATAACAGCATGCAATGTCGGAGAGACAGAAACTTCAAATATGAAATCCAAAACTATAGTAAACCGAATATGACTTTTGAAATTTTAGACATTACTGTTGAATTGTTGATGTTTCTGATTTGTCTGATATTATGTGGGTTGCGAGGCGCTTTGAGTGGCCTTGTGTTGGAAAGGCGCCATACAAATAAAGTTGATTGATTGATTGAATAATCAGAGAATAAAATACAAAAATCTAACTAGGTCTTTATGTAACTCTACGACGGCTTGGCTGTGTTTAAAGGTACCATATTACTCTTTTCTTCATGTTTCACAGTCTATCCTATGCACATACTGTACATGTGATAGTAATTTGAGTGATACACCACACAACACTGAATACTTGTGAGATTACAGCCATCTCTTGTATAGAGGTGACGTCACCTCGACTCAAAAAGGCTGATCCAGAGAGGACTCTGCTCCTCTGTCCATGAGCCCGCCTCCCCCCCACCCGCATGGTGACCTAGCCTCACACTGAGAGTTATTTATCCTCCAGTACATATTCACATCAAGCCCTATGTCCTCGATCCACAATCAGACCCTGATTATTTAGTTTACAGAAGTATACGGTGAGTTAGCGTAACTGTACTCACAGATCGGGGGATCCGTGTTAGCGTCTTTTATTGTGGGAATAACATTGGTTTCCAGATCAGTTTTTGAGTAAATCCAGTTTCGTTGTCCCTGTAGTTCTGGAACAGTCTCAGTGAAGTGTCTCAGATGAACAAATTCAATTAAACAGAGGTAGATCCTGTGAGTGGAGCCGCTTTCTTCCTCTTCAAGCCAAATATTGAAGCACATATTTACACCCAAAAACATATTTTCAAGTTGACATGATCCTAAAACTTTTAGCCCCTGACAAAAGCATAAAAACAGTAGCTCCATGTAGTGTCCACAGGACCATACCACAGACATACACTGGACTCGGGAGCTGGCTGTAGGCTGTGATTTGCTGTTTTGATTTGTCAATCACTTTCTGGATTTTAGTATTATTATAATTTTCATTATTTTTGAAAACAAACAGCATACTTATTGTGTATTGTTTTCCCTGGTTTAAGAACCATTTTAAATACGAAAGAAAACGGGCTTCTGGGCATCATATTAGTCAAAGAAGTGGACCCGGGTGTTTCACTGCCTCTCGAGGGTGAAGGAGATAGATCGCTCTCTAATCAAAGATTGACAGAATCAATGAAAAAACTGCTCTGGGCATGTGTATGAGGCCAAATAGCACTGTAATGTTTAAAGCGGAGAAAAGTCAAAAAGGTAATTTGGGACCTTTAAAACACAGCCAAGCCGATCACACTTAGTTGAACTGGTAATAAATTATTTTATTTTTTTACCACTAGTTCTCACATGCATGTATTGGCCCCCTCACTCCCCTCAAACATAACATGTTTTCCTATAGATAAGATAACAAAAGAATGATGTGGTCAGACTTGTTCAAAACGTATGATCTTTTCAGGACTCATTCCGTTGTGACATGAATTGATATTGCATTATTTATTACACAAAACATATAAGTAGGTACCCCAGCTTAACAGTTTGAAAATTTACGAACACTTTTTAATACATAGAAGACCTGCAATCACACTCAGGACACAGGAGTATTTTCAACTTTCAGAAAATAACTGAACACAGACCTTGAGAACTGCCACTGTCCAGGGAGCACCAACTTATTTGACACTCATATTCTGACATATTAGATTAAAGTTTGAACGACTTTAAAAAATGTGCATAGTTAAAAATCCCATTGTAAGGGAAACAAGATCCGACTCATAGACCACTCATAAACAGACAATTCAAATGAACATCAGCCTACTTTTCTCAGCCTGCCGCCATCTCCTCTTCATAGCACAGATTAATGTTTGATTCCTCTCGGTTCAAAGTCACTTTTAAGTCATTCCCGATGTCCAATTGAAGACGTCTTCTGAGTTTTTTTACAGCGGCGCTCAGAAACCCGCGGCTGACTTTGGAGCTTGGACATGGGACTGCACATCTGAAGATCAAATAAATAAGTAAACGCAAAGTATTTACACCCTGGAGGCCCTTAGCGCTTTCTAAAAATGGCCTCCGATGGGAAGACATTGAGAGGGGAAGCCATTCTGTCATATGATGTGCATCGCTGGTGCAGAAAATATAACTATTATTTGGTTGAGACGCGACAGCACTGGCAATGTGTGAAATAACACGAGCAAAAGAGCGTTCTCTCCCCATACTAAGTGGACTCTCGCTCGTAGCCTCCTCATGCAAAATGATCAAGGCCAGGAAACTGCTTTTCAGTATAACCTACACACGAATCAATATACCTTGAGGAACTGTGGATGATTCTGGGAAAAGTCATACTTCTGCCAGGCGATTACATACTACAAACAATGAATTAACCATAAAATGTACCAACTTGCTTTCGTGGAATGGTTTTAGGCCATATTTGCGTTAGTCTGACATCCAATCAGAAAACTGGGATCATATGTGTCATGTTTTCCCTGGTCTGGTCACCCGCCCACCATTTTAATGTCTAAGGCGGGACAAACGCAAAGAAACAGACAGCGGAGTCGACCAATAAGTGATGGGCGGACGCAATGTGAGATCAGCTGTGACGAGCCCTCTCACAGTTTGGTTAATAAAGGCTTCCAGTGTTTTTTACTGCTGTGGTTTAAAGGACTGGATGTAGTTGTAATCTTTTAGAACAGAACAGATTTTACAGCTGAATGAATCTTTGTTTTTGTCCTAGCTTGACACACTTTTGTGACGGTGCACACATGTCTGTAATTCACCGAACTGATTGGATTGGTAAGTTTTGTATCTGGCTTTAATATGGAACATACAGTATGAGCTGGGATATACTAAATCCCAGGCTATATATCTGTATGGCAATGTGTGTATATTGTACCCGATGGTTCATAGTACTTGGTATCCAACATATACCATAACATAACATAAGTAACACAGTGAGTTTGCACATAAAAAAAATAGATCAGTGTCACTTTTGTATTGATCTGCATTGCTTCATAAGAACAAGTTTAATAAAATTCCTCTATTGAATGATTTCTGATGTAAACATCCCTTTACATTGCCCCACAGTGTGTGAAAGCAAACATTACACTGGAAGTTAAATCCTAAATTTGCTCCCACTAATTGTTTGTTTGTTTGTTTAATGATTGAGAAATGCTTTGAATGGGTCAAACCGTGTTACATTTAATATACCTTTTGAAACGTTTACAACATCTCAATATCTGTCGCCACAATAAATATACAAACTAATTGCAAGATGTGTGATGTACTTTGAACACAACAGTTCTGTTATGTATGAATACAATTAGAGTACCCCAGCAATAAAAAGGGTATACAATGCTGCTTTATTCCCTCATTATTTATTGAACAAGAATAAAAAGTGAACTTTGCATAGACAGTGGATTTGGCCTGCTGTGACTGGACCAGTGCGAAGTCCACTATGAGGTAAACAGCTGCATGTAAGTGACCCAGAACATCAGGAGGTTAGCCCTTATGCATAATACACTTACTCAATGGTATTTTCCTGCTAAGGTAAAACTACTACCAGCATGCATTATGGAGAGGCACGACTGGTAGCTGCTAAACAAATACGAGATGACAGTACTCGCCTTGCAAGGTTAATGTTCCATCTGCCGCTTACGCCAGACGGAGGTTAAGGTGAGGGTGGGTTAAGTTCATATTGTCATGCACTGAAAGAAAGAGAAACTCACTCTGTGCAATATGCTAACTGTACCTGTGTTATGTGAAAAGTTGTATCTGTGTTGTACAAACAATTGTGATTAACTGTGTGATTCACCGAGTACTCACAATATGATTATACAATGTTTTGGATATATGAGAGAAAGTGGACATGGGTAGGGGAGTATGGGCATCTCTCAGACTGCTGTCTAAGCAACTCTTCTATAAAGACTCTTTGAAAACCATTTTGGAAAATAATGTGACCAAAATACCTTTTGTTTCTGGATGTTAGGGTTAGGGTAAATTGTAAAATGTAAATTCAAGCATCTTTCTATACAACCCCAGATAATGAATATTTTGTTTGGGTCATCAACAGGTCGGATAGAGTAATATTGACCATCCAAACTGTTTTCAGGCAGATGACAGGCTTCATTAGTACTGTATGTTGTACAAGACAGCTTTAGCGATGAAATCTTTAATCAAATGCACTGTAAATAATCCTTATTTGTCCCACAGTGGAGAAAGTCCAATATCAATAATAAAAATAACAAATAATTAACTGTAAAGAGTTGCCATCTTCAGCGAGTTTCTATCCTAAAAATAGAAAATTAGAAACTAAACGTAATAAAAAAGTAAAAGGTTCTTCTAATGAATCCAGCAGACGTGTACTCACAACTCAATACTTTGTGGACCACTGATGCCCACGCCCCGCTCCAATACATTCACTTTTACAAGCAACGCAGCACGAGTGAAAGTTTGCAGCTGTGAGCATTTCATGAAAAGTGTCCTGGGTAAACTTTTTGATTAAGATATGTCTCTATTGGACCCTTAGACTGAAGCTCCAAACCCTTGGTGCTTCCACTCACTTGATGCCAACATGCATGCCTAGACATTTTACAAAGCGAGATACAAAATCACACCCACGACCTCGGTCCACAAAAACACAAACTTTAACTGCTCGGTGCAATACTGGAGCGGTGGAATACTTACAGCTTTCGATCTCCAGTGTGCAGTTCTGCTCATCCAGGGGGTATCTCCTCAGGTCCATCATACAGGCAGCGGTGGTGGTGATTCTGAAAGAGAACAGACAAAAGAAAGGTGAGTTTCTATTAAGATAACACAGAAGGACGGATTTGGAAATGGCCAGTATTCTTATTGTTTGGCTTTTAGGCCAGACCATCTCTCATCATGCCTTGAAATAATAAGATAAGATGGACTTTATTGATCCCACAAACGATACATTTACATGTCACATCTGGCATGGATAGAATCAACCAGATAGGTGTAAAAGACAGAAGTGTGCAAACATGTTAAAGGGAAAAAATTGTCTTTTTAGGATCTGTTATGTATAATAAAAAGTGGCAATAGTAGTGCAGGTTTTCAGTCCTAGTGCAAGTGACTTATTGTACAGTCCGATTGCAGTGGGTATAAAGGCCCTGCGGTAGCGCTCCTTCTTGCACTGAGGCTGCCTCAGTCTTCCACTGAAGGAGCTTTTCAGTGGAACACTGAAGCAGAGGCCTGCTCACTCTGAAGGACCTCAGCCTTCTCAGAAGGTGGAGGCAACTTTGGCCCTTCTTGTACAGGGCGTTGGTGTTATGGGACCAGTCCAGTTTATTGTTAATGTGAACACCCAGGTACTTGAAGCTGTCCACCAGCTCAATGTCCTCCCCATGGATGTTCAGCAGCGTGTGGGAAAGTGGTTTTCTCCTGAAGTCGATGACCATCTCCTTGGTCTTACTGGTGTTCAAGCACAAGTGGTTGCGCTCACACCAGTCGACAAAGTCTGTGATAACCGACCGATTTTCCAGTTCGTTCCCCTCAGACACACAGCCCACGATGGCGGAGTCGTCAGAGAACTTCTGCAGGTGACAGCTGTGTGTGTCGTATGTGAAGTCTGAGGTGTAGATGGTGAAGAGAAACGGTGAGAGGACAGTGCCCTGAGGGGCCCCAGTGCTGCAGACTACCACCTCAGACTCACAGCTGCGCAGCCGCACGTACTGTGTTGATTTATGTGTATCTTTTTTTCAGTTTTAGGTCATTCTTCCTCACACACATGGTATGGTTTGTACTTTATTTGAACAGGGGCCATGTACAATTCAACATAAACACAATGCAAACGGATGAAGCGGAAGAAAATGGAAAATGGAAAAAAATGGAAACAATGGAAATATATATTGTACCAGGTTATAGGAAAGATGCTAATTTCCACCTGTAGTCCCTGGGTTGATGTTCATTTAAACTGATTATAATGTAGATAGATACATACTGTACATGACCATGTCTTACATTTACAAACTTTAAATAACATTATTTACAAAACATTTAATTTAATATCAATCAAAATTACAGTTCCCCAACTTCTACTAATATATTACCCCCACTCACTCACTCACATTTTCAAGTCAGGTATTGCAAGTGCAGCTGTTTTGAGGTCAAGTCACATTATTTTCAACCATCTCTAGGTAAGACAGAAAGAATGCAAAAAAACTTCAACTTGTGTCTCTTGATTTTGAGGTGTGTGAAGTGGAACCTTTTTTGTAGAAGCCATCCTTGTAAATGTTTTATACTTTATTATCATTAGAGATTTTATACTTCTTCTTCATCTTCATCTTGTATTAACTTTGGGTTTTGTAGAGATGGTGTTAAGGTATAATTTTGTTTTTTGTATGTTTATTGACCTCTCTTTTACGGTCACTTAGCTACAAGCCAAAAGTATATTGGACCTTACTACTGTCCTGCATGTGCGCTGCAACATGGAAATTGCCCCACTGTGGGACGAATAAAGGTTCTCTTACACTATAATAATACCTTTAAATAAATATGTATGTTTTAGCACTGCTGGACTGGATAGAAAAAAATTGAGACACAATTTTCATATAATACAATTGACACACAATGATTATTCCTCCTCATTCTTTCAATTTTCTTGTTGAATTCCATCCACTATTATTGCCGTAGTATAATTGAGTCCATTCATATTCCACTTTAACATGGGGTCTTTCAAAGGAAGCAAATGTGAAAACGGAAAAAAAACACTTTGAATTATTAAATGTCTGGTCCGCTGAGAGATTGCTCTGAAATGACTTTTTCTGACAAGAGCATGATTTCTGGGAAAACTACAAAAACAACCTCTGATTACCAAAATAATGACTCGCCTAAGAGCTACGACACACATTTCACATGTGATTACATATAAATGGTTCAAAAGGAAAGTTGATTGCAAATACTGGTTTTATGTCCACATGATACAAATGGACAATTTTGTTTCTGTCTGAGGAGATACAGAGGACACAGATGGAAGCCTCAGAATAATAAAAAGCTGGGAATATAACAGTAGTTTGCCTTGTCATCTAAAAAACAGTATTCCTGTGTTTGTGATCATATACATGTTTAAATTTCCACCCATCCCCTTCTATTTCGCTTTAATTACTTTTATAGTTGCACCTCAAGGAAAAAAAAGGTCACGTAGCCATTTAGTACATAAATAAAAGGAAAATCTGCTGCTGGCTGTGATTAAATTATAGACAATAGAAGGAGTGGACAAACTGACTGCTGATGTCACCCATTGTTTTTGGCTTTTCCCGAAACAGGCTCCATGGGTCGGAATCTGAAGCTAAATTCTCTAAAAGCAACAACTCAGCAACCAAAGAGCCAATCAGTAGCCTGGGATGTCCTTGCCTGCTCGCAATAATCAACAACCAAAACCAAATTCAGGGACAGAATGAAAATAACCAAGTAGGTTCCACTGTCCTAGCCTGGTCATACCACACCATAGTACAAAATACATTTCGAACTAAGGTCTGGAGGTGCTCCATTGAGCTCCGTTTACAGGTGGGAGGGGTTAACTGCTTTTGCAGATTGAAACGATTGGGTCTGAGTTTACCGTCACGCTTGTAATGCACCCGAGTGAGTTTTTAGCATTTAGCATTTAGCCTAGCCATCTCCTTTGCTGCTAACAGAACCCGTGGGGAGTAGCGCCACAATCTTTTCCAGCGATTACATTTGCTAAACATTCCTCTTGCTCCGGCTTCAATTTCTTGATACAACCAGACCGGATTACTTTACTTTACTCTTCACCATTGCCAAACTACAACCTGCTCGTTCGGCGCAAACTCTCAACGTCACCCACATCTAACTACAACACCTGCCTCCCACACTCGCTGATTGGTCAAATGGATTTCAACCAATTGTAATCGCAAACACAGGGACCAGACCCAGACGTTACATGCAGTGAAATGATGATTGAGAGTGTACGGATGGCTAAGGCCAGGCTACCACTGTCTATGGATGAAAGCAAATGAGGACGCAGGGTTTATCAGTTCTGTAGTTTTGAACGGAAAGTTACGAAACAGTTTCTATTCATAAGCAAGTTTAGATCCAACAAAGATTATGATACAATTCTGCTGATATTGAACAAAATGTAAGATAATTATCCGCGGTACAATGCAACATTTGTGAATTTGTTTTTCCTTTGGCCTCACTGTGGAATCTGGGACTTGACTTGGCCAGAGTGAGCAGTGTTGCATGCTGGGTAATCGTCTGCACACCTGAACACACAATTTACTGCCAGAAGAGGCTCATCTTGAGTCTGGTCCACAGCGGGGATAATCAGAGCATCTCTCAGCCTGGCGTCTTCAGCCTCTCCATCATGCGCAGCCGATGTTTGGCAAGACAATATGCAATTTACAATGGCTCTAGAAACGTGTCTTAATCCGATTAAATGAACATAACTTTTTTCTAAAACAAAGTAAAAAAGTGATTTTGGAACGGTATGATGACAGGGAATCATATAAAAGGTAATATTAAAGCAAATATAATGACGTGCATATAATTAATGTAAAAAGTTCATTAATACTTTTGTATTAATGTATCAAATACATGTATCAAATATACATGCATGTTAAATATATATTAACTGTTACATATACATTAACTGTTAAATATAAATGTGTGTGAAAACTCTCACTAGTTTTCACATACATGTATATTTGGCCTCTGTAACTTCTACAAATAAGTCTTTTTCAATTAAAATAGAGTTATGAATTAAAAGAAAATGTAGTCAATGTGAGGATGTGATTACTGCTATACACATACATTAATCCCAATGAGGAAAAACAGCCCAGAGTTCACAAACAGACTAATCTAGGACATAATCTATTCTATGATCCCACTATATTATACACAATTAAACAGTCTGAGTCTTTTAAGTTGCATATATGTGTCTATTATAAAGAATTATTCACAGTGAACTACTCATTTTGCTCAAAATTTTGTGTTTCCACCAAATGATTGCCAGTGCTGGGCAATATGTACTGTAACATTACTTCAACATCAAAAAAGCAATCAAAATTACACTTTGATTAACTTTAATGGTGCTTTGTCTATTTACCCAGTCTGTCATGTGGACAAGAACAATAACATTTAAAACATGTTTTAACAATCTTGTGTAGTTACAAAAGAAAAGAGAATGTTTATCTTAACATAAAGGTCACAGTTCCTCAATGAACAGTTATCTCGGTAATGTTGTATTCAGAGTGTTTCCCAGAAATCCGGTCAGAAAGGGTCATCTTAACACAGGGACCGCCAAATCCATCAGTTAATGAGTTCTTTGACAGTGTTTTAACAAAAAAGACAAAGCCATCATAATGTAGTACTTTTCCAATTATCCGAGAAACAAACAAAAAACAAGTGGAATGTATTTGTGAGACTAGATTCCATTCTTAAAACACAAAAGACACAGTACATTTGAAAACATTTATAATAGATAAGAAAAAGTAGCATGGGATAGTTGCTATAAAGATATACCACCACCCGGCTGGATTGACACATCGACATATGCATTTAGTTCTCATTCCCAACCTGAGAATTGCACATGAGCATCTGACAGAGGTGAGATGAGTGACTCTTCAGTCTCTAGTGTACAACTTTCTATTTTCTATACACACACGTTTTACTTGCTGCCAAATGCTCCGGATCTCCATATGCTTCCGCTCCTTCACCAACCCCCATCTTTCTCTTCCGCTGAAATCAAACTCATGCGGTCAAACGTGAACCAATCTGCCTGAGGTCTTAA